GAGAAGAAGTATTGTAAGAAGTATAATAAGTCCAGAGGAGGGCCACGAGGATGATCAGGGGACTGGAGCACCTCCCATATGAAGACAGGCTGAGAAAGTTGGGGCTGTTCAGCCTGGAGAAGAGAAGGCTGTGTGGAGACCTCATAGGAGCCTTCCAGTATCTGAAGGGGGCCTATAAGGATGCTGGGGATGGACTCTTCATTATTAGGGACTGTAGTGATAGGACAAGGGGTAAAGGGTTCAAATTTAAACAGGGGAAGTTTAGATTGGATATAAGGAGGAAATTCTTTCCTGTGAGGGTGGTGAGGCACTGGAATGGGTTGCCCAGGGAAGTTGTGAATGCTCCATCCCTGGCAGTGGTCAAAGCCAGGCTTGACAGAGCCTTGGGTGACATGGTTTAGTGTGAGGTGTCCCTGCCCATGGCAAGGGGGGTGGAACTTGATGATCTTAAGGTCCTTTCCAACCCTAACTATTCTATGATTATATAGAAACGTATGCACACCCATCTCTAGTGACAACAGTGCAGAAAATGCTGTGCTTCATTAGCTCCTTGTTACCACTTACAGTAATAGCAAAAACATGCTCATACCTGAGGAAATAATCATTTTATCCAGGCAAAGATCTTTCATGAGTAACATATCTGGCCCCTTCTGATCTTTTCAGTGAGTTTTAAATCCATTTGCACTTATTTAACACAGACCCAGGTAACAAATTATTCTTCTGTTACCTTCAGCAGGTTTTAGGCAATGATGTCGTCTTTAACAACAGCTGTGTTTTCATCAAGCTAAAGGATACCACTTTCTCTAAAAAGAAGTGCTTCCTACCTCTAGACATTCTTGTTCATCACCTTTGAACCTTCTCCAACTGGGCTACTCTGCCCAGTAACAAAGCACTATGGCTCACTCCCATTTTCCCAGATTTGAAAAGAATAACAAATACATTTATGCCTTTTTAATGTATTAAGTTAAGCAAATAGTGATACATGTAATAAATTCCAAACAATTTTTCTTTGAAATCAGTTTTAATGCCACCCAACTGACACTCTCATTTTTTATATCGTATTAAGTAATTTGGTCATCTCTACAGGTTGTGACAATTCAAGAATTCTTAGATTCACAGAATTGTAGAACGGTTTGGGTTGGAAGGGACCTTAAAGATCATCTAGATCCACCCCCTCTGGCATGGCTAGGGACACATTCCACTACAACAGGTTGCTCAAAGCCCCATCCAACCTGGCCTTGAACACTTGAAGGGATGCAGCATCCAGTTATTTCTGCATCTGCTAAAATGCCGTTTTCAGAAATGTTTTTCATTATGTAATTCTCTCTTATTGACTTAGAATGGCAGATTAGGTTTATCTGAAAAGTTCCAAGCAAGAATCTAAGCATGATTCCTGACAGAAAATGTCCATATTTGTTTCCTAGCACTTTAAATTTCAAATCTAGCCCATCAAGTCTGTCTTGAAACTCAGTAAAAGGCATTAATAACATGTAAAAATAATTTACTCAAGTCATACAGTGCTTCTGTAAATAACATTGTAGGCTGCTCCCACTTGACTGTTGTTTTCATTTATGTAAAACTATTGAGATCACTACAAACATTCTTGAATTGTGCTAATGCAGAAAAAAAAAATAATATCTGAATGTAGCTACTCACAGGGACAATAAAAAAAAATCGATGTGGTCATTAAGCACAGATTTTCTTACAGAAGGATATACACAATTTGCAGCTTCACATGACAATAAAAGGCAATTTACCCCCTACTGACAGTGTGTTGGATTCTGCCTAGAAATTCATATTTTCTTATCTGCTTTTAAGCAGAGGACTGTGATGCATGGTTTCTCTATTCAGGATGTCAGTAAGAAGAAATTCCGGTAATGTAAAGCATTGATACCCAGAGATTATGAATTTGCAGCCACAATAATGACACGTTTTGTAAGAGGTGGTCTCTAGGGAGATTTACAGTATTGCTTACACAGATGCTTCATTCAGTCGACAGATCACAATCCTTTAACCTGGCTAACAACTGAGAAGGTTGAAACCCCACTAGGGTTAAATGGCAGAAGTGTCATTGCTGCAACAATTTACATTTATGAGTCTTGGAAAGGAAATTCTGTCTCCTCAGAGTCAGTTATAAAATGATCTAAGACTAAATATACTTCAGAGGTTCTGACTGGAATCAAATATCTGCACAAAAGTTGCTGAATCAATTCAAAGTTTTCTTCCTATTCTGCAGCATTTGTTTTAAACAGATGTGTTGATACTACAGCAATACCTGCAGGATTATCAGCTATACCAGATGTAGGATTAGTAATTATACCAGAGAGCATACCTTGTACAATATACTACGTGTGTTTCTATGATGCATATGAAGTCTTAGCATTAGTTGTACTGGATTCAGGTCTTGACTCAGGTTTTACAGATATGCTGTGACACATTCTACAATAAATCCCCATAACTCGTACTCCAAATTGATGCAAAAGTTCTGTTCATTAGACAGCAACTTGTGCCAATAAAGCACAAAATGAATGTGCAATGAGCATATGCCCTTATCTGAAGTCCCTGTTTTAAGCCAGAACTCTGACTTTTAAGATCTCTGGCGTGACCCATTCTGTCCTTTCCATTACCTTTCCATGTGGTGATACATTTATTAAACATACAAGAAATAAGCAGTAAATATAGAAAGCATGTATGCATACAAGCTTTAATCCTATACAGAAATTTTAATTTCTGTTTTCCTTTAATTGGAAATACTATAAGATTCCAATGGGTTCAAACAACAATTTTGCTATTATGACTGTTAGAAAATGGCTACTAGATCATCTATAAACAAAACCAACATTTATCTAAATTAGAAAAGTCTAAACCTGTCAAAAAAGTCTTGATGGACAACTCATTATGTCTCCTTACCTCCTTTTGTATTCCTTTTTGTGCTATAGCACAGAAAACTTGCTCTTCTCAGTTGTTAGATGCATGAGAATTATTTCTCAAGCAACACTGAACATGACATGCACAATGTCTATCAATTTGTCTAGGTCTTCTACTTATTTAATAATAAGAAATGTCATAATATAGTTTTTAAAAAGACCCTTACATTTCCCTACCCAAATATTAAGAAAAAAGGCTGCAAAAAGAACAAAATTCAGAATATTCCATTTTTGCATTTCCCTCTGACTAAAAATTCATGGCTACACACACTCTGATCTTACAGTAACGTACACTGTGCAGCATAAAAGGACTGAAAGTAAGCAATAATAGCAAAAAGTTGTCTAATTTACTTAAAATTTAAAATTTACAATTTTTCTTTTTCTATCTCTAAAAAATCATTCTAATTCCAAGAGTGGCTGGATGAAAGAGGATTCCATTTAAGTTCAGACATTATTAATAATACATCTATGGTATAGTAAAGAGTTTCATCTTATAGCATGATGAATGTGCAGAACATTGTAAGCACTTTAGAGCTTATACTGGATTTGCTCTGCTGCTGCAGCATACTGCTATTCTAATTTTCACTTTCATAAGCAGGTGAAAAATGTTTACGCAGAGTCACTGTAAAGACTTCAGAATATCCTCAACAAATATATATCCTTCAAGCCATGATCCAGGAGAAAAAAAAAAAGAAAAAAATCTATGGAAAAGTGGGTACAGCACAGGATAGACAAGACTAGGGCCCTGCAGATCTAGCCCATATTCCTGTCTCTAAACTGTGGAAAAATCTCTAAACTGTGAAAAACCCAATTATTTCTCTGTGGCACTTTTCCTTCTTATATTTATTGCTGATTTTGTGTGCGTAAGGATGGACTGCCTCCCAAGTATTTGCCTGAAACAAACTCAAAGGTCCCTAATGGTGCCTTGGGCCTCCTTATCACATAGCAATTCAGTACAGCCATTAAAGCTGTGTGTGCGATATCAGCAAATTTCAGCACCAATTATTGTATTACTTCCATTTTCTTAAAAAAACAACAATGGGTATATCCTGAGATAAACTGACACTGTCAATTGCACATTTATGCAGTAAATGATATGGTGTTTTCCCATTATAGCTACTATCCAGACAACTGGGCTAAGACATCCATATCACACTGCCATCACAAAAAATGAAGGACTGCTTTTAAGAATACATGTGGTTTTCATTGCTTATTTTGAAAGGTCAGTGCAAAGATTTTTTTTCTTTTAATTACTGTATCCATATTTTAAATGGTGCACACTGATTAAAAAGAGTGCAAAACTGATTTAAACAGTGCCTTGAATGATTCCTTCTTCAAATAAACACTTTTATCTCAAACTAAGTTCCTTCCTTAGTGACCTTCTCTCCATGGAAGTAGACTTGCTTTTTCCTATTCTCTTAATTTCACTACCTCTAATGATATGACTAGAAGAAAGTTGGGGAACTTTTAATATAATAGAGAAAAATTTTCACCATGATTGCTGAAGCCAATCTCGAAGAAAGTGGAGTTTGCTTTATCAATACTAAAAATGAAACAGATTAGGTAGTGAATAAAAGAAATTAGGGATTTTGTGAGTTTTGGTTTGTTTTTTGTTTGGGGTTTTTTTGTGGGCTTTTTTTTTTTTACAGATACTAAAACTCCTATGAGAAACATCCAAATGACAAGTGACACTAGAAGGCTGAGCACATTTAAACACCAGTTTTAGGAGATCCAAGTTTACTTTTTAGTAAGTGTTAGGAAATAAGCAATGAAAATATCAATTTCCAGTCATCCGGAGACTTCCAGAAAAATCACAACAAAGTAATTTATGGAAAAAATTATGTGGGTTTTGGAATCATCAATATACTTCCATATTAAGTTCTCATGCAACTTAGAAAAAGAAACATAGGATCATTCTTTTTTTCCTCAAGGCTACACCAACCTATACCAGATTAAGCATTGCAAAAAGAAAAGCAAAAAAAGCCCCACAAAAACATAATCAGAGGAAGTTTTATTTCAGTAAACAATGCTGTATTAGATTTCCAAATACAAAGGGTAGCTACATGTGAGTACCTCATGAAGTTTTCAACCTTCCAGAAGACCGCAGATGAACAGTACCATTACCATTCAGCTCCAGCTAGCTAGTCGTATCTGTATAGAATCATGGGCAAGCTTCTAGAGATGAAGCTTCAAGCACCACTCTGAAGAACTGTCTTTGCAAGCCCTCTACCCCAGTTTTACTTTAGCTGCACTCTTCTTTCACACACTAAGGGAGGTGACTACCTGAACTTCCAGGGTGAGTATTTTTAGTACAGTCAACATTTAGACATCTGCATGATTCAGCTTTCCTCTTACAAATTTGGGTAGATTGATTCACTTGAGACTCTCTTTCATCTTCATTAATAACCTATGTATAAATTATTTAGAGAGAGCTATTCAGCTACCTCAATAACAATCAGGACTGCAAAACAGATCTGTACATTCTAAACACATGCCTAACTTTCATGCTAGAATGTAATTTTCAGCATAAAACTCCCAAGTGCATGGATCTATCAATGCTGATTTTTTTTAAGGTCTTAATAGTTTTTGTCATCTTAATGCTCAGGGGACTGTTTCTGTCCTTTCTTCAACTATCATGATATTTTGTCAAGAGCCACTAGGGCATGCCCCAGAAACCTTAGGTAAAATATAACAATTGCAAGCAGCTTCCATAAGTGCACAGCATTGTTGACAGGCAATCCGTTAGCAGCAGACTACTATCCCTGCTCCTGGCAGCAGAAGTAAATCCAAGCATCATGCCAATTGCAGAGGTTTATCTGAATACACATTGCCAGTGCAGGCTGATCTTTTCAGGGTTTTGACAAGTACCTGGAGAGTTTTGCAATTAATATCATTATGTACTTTCTCCCAGGAATGCCCTTGAAACTCTAAAATGTTCTCTACTGCATCTGGGAGGAATAAAAACACAGGGACAAGGAAGAGGAGCTCATTTGATAACTGGGTCTGCCTCAAAATGTTAAACTGTAAAGTCACAAAATCCTTTTGGAGGTAACTGAGCTAGTCATTAGCAGTATTTTAACTACAGCAATTTCAGAGATTTGTGACCAGTGTTGGAAAAAGCAAATAGCCTTGAATTATCCTCTAAACCTGTGCGATTACGGTCTGCATTCACACTACTGAGTGAGAAATTCAATTATTCTGAGTACCTTGTAATCAAGAGTTTGCTACCCCTCTATCAAGTTGTGAATGGACAAGTTACATTTTTATCTCTTTTGATCCAAGAGATGTCTAAATCCAGCTTAAAGTGGACACCACCTGACTCAATTCTATTTCTAGTTTCTATTTCCAGTGTAGTTGTTAAAAAGTACTCTATGCTTATTTGATGCAAAGTGCTGGAGACAGTATAAAGCGCACATCAAGGGCTTAATGTTTATATAACATTTCAAATCAAAGTACAAGAATCCTAAACAAAGCACCAAACCCAAAATGTCACAAGTTACATTAAGTTTCTGCTAGACCACCTTATCCTGTCCAGAGACAGTCTTTAAAAGTTCTCAATTCTCGGCTGGAAACAAGACTAAAACTTAAGTTTTATCCCCTGTGTTAAATTAAATGATCTAAACCAAATAAAGTTTTTGAAACTTACACAAAAACTCTGAGCTTTTGTGAATATTTGTGAGTATTACAGTATTTCTGACCAATGCTATAAATACTGAGGAGAGAGGTAGAACCAGAAGGCTTCAAGGAAAGCAGAAATTATCATATTGTATCTGAACAATGGTTCATATCAACCTCTCTGAGAATGGCCAGTAGCAGCTGCTTTAATTAAAAGTACAATAAACCCAACAGTAGGTCATTACTGTTTTTTCTTGAATCAGAAACTCCAGAGAACCAAGTTTTGTGTTTGGTTTTGGTTGGTTTCTTTTTCCCTCAACAGATCCTGTGTAATAAACACATTCAGAAACTATAATAACTATTATAAATGGCTATGCATTTGAGCAAGAGAATGTAATTATTCTTCAGGAATATTTAACATAAGGCTTAAAGATACTCTAATCATCATTAGGTTGAAGAAAAAAATGAACAGGAAGGAACCAGGCATGGAACCCACATTTTTCACAGGATGTCACAAATCTCTTGGTTATTCAGTTTTTGTGAAAGCTTGTTTCTTTGATATGTTTAATGTATTTGGGGCTCAAAAGGCGAAGATGAGAAAGGCAGTACAAGGCCACCTTTTCTCCACTATCTTCAATACAAGCTGTTCATCATGACAAGTTTAGTAACCATCATGTTGTGCAGAAGCAGTGAAAATCAAATGTTGTGAGTTTAAGCTTCTAATCAGCAACATGATCTTCCAAGGTGTTAAGCTAGGAAATCCATCAACTGCAGAAGGAAAATGGTTGAGTATAAACTGCTTCTGGAACTGAGGCTTTAAAAAAAAACAAACCACACCAAACCAAAAGAAAACAAACCCCAAAAAACTAAAACAAAAAAAAAACCATACCAACTCCAAACAAGCAAATAAGCAAAAACCCTAACAGACAGACAAAAGCCAGTCATTCTCTCTAACAGGGAGATGTTTGCATCTTTAGGCAATGTGAGGCATGTACATTCCCATTCTAGAAGATCCAGTTCATGATCTTCTTCCAGCTATTCTTACTTTCTTACATTCTGGTTTTAGGTGGGTATCTCTATGGCATTAATGTTTTCCACTAAAAGATACAAAACAGGACGTCTGCAGACCCCGCAACCCACCCGCAGAGACGAGTGGCTGTCTGTATGTGTCTGTACACACGTGTGCACAGCTTGGTGCACAAAGGCTCTTCAGAAGCTCACCTATGCAGGAGCTCAACTTCCTCACTCAAGCATTTACTGGTGTTATCACACCTACAGGAAAAACTGCTCAACACGCTGAGATTCCAGCCAGTAATACTGTAAACTGTATGACAGCATATGCTTTGTCTGCACTACGTGAAGATTCAACCTAAGATTTAATTAAAAGCTATTTTTAACAAAACATGATTCATACGGGGTAAACAATTACTTAGCTGACACTTTCGCCCAGCTATATTTAAACCATATATTGAAGGAAACAGAACAAACCACACATACATGTATGTATGCGGGCATACACACACATATTTACACTATAAACCTTAGCAAACAATGCAGTAAGAATCCACATTCTCCTTCCGTGCCCCCCAAAGACTGGAGCTTCATATTCAAGCACAGGAGGCATGCACTCTTAATGCAGTATGAACATACTGTACCTAAGTGATACATGACACAGGAAAACGTGTTCATAAATTTCCCCCCCTTTGCCATCCTGAAGCATTGCATTTTCATTTCTAAATGGTAACACAAGATAGCCTTCTTTTTTTGGAGTGGCATCAATTGGAACTATACCCCAAGAATTAAAAGATGCTTAGAGCCACAAAAAGCCCATATGCTAGCCCTAGAAGCCTCCCTGGTAGAAAGAGATAGAATTTCTCTGAACCATGGTGAAGAGTCTTAACCATTTTTTTCATTATTCAGATGCAAATTATTGTATTTACAAACACATAAAACCAACTGAAGGAGATAAAGCAGCTTTGAATTTGACTGCCACTTGACTAAACAAGCCTTGTACAACAGCAGTGTTACACGCTAATAAATGCAAATATTTTTATGTATTTGGACTGACATTTATGATTGATCTAGAAATACAGAAAAACCTTGGTCTTAGCCATAATGCAAAGTGATTTTTGCTTTAATTGTGCTCCTTCAAGTAGATGTGCACATAATGACCTGTTAAGGGGTTTATCTCTCAAAATCATGTCCAGAAAGTTTCCTGATAACAATTGTTTTTTTATTGTTTTTTTTTGCGAACTGTATTTAGGTACTAAGGTACTAGCTCTCTAATTTCTTACACATCACTGGCATTCACGTTCTCATTTGTCTCTTTACCAATACTGAGGTATGCATGCACTGATAGTTCCAGCTGATTCACTAGCCTTTGCAATTCCAATTATATTAGCTTTGGCAGATTTATACTTGATGCATAATTCAATATAGAGTGTATAAAATAGCAGGCATGACTATTCAACTGAAGTTGCATAAATATTTCCAGTAAAATATCTCGCTATCAGCTACTTATAACTTGCACTTAACAGGCCGCCACACAAACTCTTGGACTCATGCTGACAACTGGAGCAAAATGAATTTGCTCACCTTGCATGCAAATGTGTGCACAAATACTCGGGCACCGCTGTCTCTGCATATTTGTATGAGGATTCTTACTGCGCGGACCTCCCTCCCTGGTAGGTATTTTCCTCACTGTTTCAGAAATATGGATAGCAGCACATAATATTCAGTTTGCTGGCAAAAACACAGCCTAAGAAGATCTGCAAGTTTTACTGAAGGGAGCATCCTCAACACACCCATGTAAAAGCCATCACGTAACCTGTGCCAGTCTATGTGCAGCACATCACACATAGGCCATCATCTGGCAACACAAACTCTAGTCCTAGCATTGAGGCTCCAAGTTTAATACAGTGTTTGTTGATCTGGACATGATTTAGTGTAATTTTGAACAATGGTAGACATGTTAAGGAGGTAGATCTTTAGAGGAACACCAGTTTTGTCCAAAATCATTGTTTCTTTGCAATTATTTCAGAATTTATGCTAATGAATACTTTCAGGGACTGCCCTCATTGCTAAGAAAATACTTGATGTTTGTTTGTTCAAACACACAGAAATATCACCTAGAAATCAGACAAAGAAGTATTAAACAACTGATTATTATTATAATTACTATTATTATTAAGATGAACATAGTAGGATTTCCCAGTGCAATGCACACTAATGAATCAAATGCACCTACATTAAGGACACATGGATTATGTCACTGGAGATAATATGATATTTTGGTAAATATAAAACCAAACAGATGTGGAAGAAATACGCATTTGGAATAGACTTTCATCATGATGATGACACAAAAAAACCAGGGGGTGCAGGAAGGGGAAGGAGGTTCAAAAAGCTTGTGTCAAATTTGAAAAAGAGGGAAAAAGCAAACTGCTCTTCTAAATAACTAGTACTCCACAGATGTAGCTTTCTAGAAATTCAATTTATACAAATTGCTTTTTAAAGACAGCCCTTTCACAGTGAAGATTGTTTGTATACAGTAGGACAGCACAGACTACTTCATGCATCTTCAGAGATGAAATTGCTCGTCTCATTACCAATCTTCAGTTATTTTCCTTCTTCCACATCCTATCTTGGCTAAGGGTCCTAGAATTTAAAGATTTTTTCCCAGCATTCAGCATCTTTCCCAATTTTAAAGATTTCTCCATTTTCCTTTTATTTTACATAATTAATACATACATAATAATTGCTTCTGCTCTAAGCTATAATTCAGTACTTCGACAGAAAAAGTTTTTTCTTCCTTTTCCACATGACAGTATAGTTTCTTATCAAGTTTAGCTTTAGGAATATCTAAAAACTTGTTCCATACAATTACTCAATGAATCCACATGGTGAAAACACACACACACTCCCCTACGATAATCCTAATGAACCGAATTCTAGTAAGGGTTCACTGTTTCTTATTCTGCTTTGAAGCATGAATGCATGCACATATGCAGCTAATGCTTGCTCCACATTTCTTCCCTGTGGCCACTGCCGTTCTACTTTGCCAAGTGATTTTGCCTTTTACTGC